CGGAACGGGGGGAGGGGGGAGGGCATTTCCTACATTTCCCTGGGGGTCTGGCCCGTACCTTGATTGAAAGGGTTCGGCATCGGTGTGGTCATCAACCAGATGGGCATTCGCAAGAAGTCCGCGAGGTTTTGGGAACGGCATTGATCGAGAGGAACCGAGCGAGAGAGAGAGAGAGAGAGAGAGAGAGAGAGGAAGAGAGAGAGAGAGAGAGAGAGAGAGAGAGAGCCTGCGCAGCTGTCCGATGTCTTCCGGGAGAGTCGCCATGCGGTTGTCGGAGAGAGAGAGCGAAGAGAGGGAACCCCCGAGGCCGGCGCACAGCCCGTCGGGCAGGCCCGTCAGCGCGTTGTTGGTGGCGGCGACCGTGACCAGAGGGCAGCGGCCGACCGCTGCGGGCAGCGCTCGCAAGTCGTTCCGCGAGACGTAGAGCTCTGTGAGTGAGGCGCAGCCGCCGAGGCTATCGGGAAGCGCCGTGAGCCGGTTGTCCGATAGCCTCAGCGTGCGCAGCGCGCTGCACTGGCCGATCGACGGCGGCAAAGCCGCGAGCGTGTTTCCGCTGAGACCGAGGATCGCAAGCCGGTTGCAGAGGCCGATCTCCTCGGGCAGCGCGGCGATGTGGTTGGAGCCGGCCGCCAGCTCGGTGAGCGAGCCCGTCTCAAAGACAGGCGGTGGAAGCGACCGCAGGGCGTTGCCGGAGAGGCGGAGCATCTGCAAGCGATCGAGCCGGCCGTCGGCGAGGAACGGAGGGAGCTCGGTGAGGCCACGGCCGCTGCAGTCGAGCGCCGTGACGTTGCCGTCACCGTCTTGCTGGAGACCTCCGGGCATAGCGGTAGAGGAGGAGGAAGTAGGACGGCACTGTCCGCCGGCTCCAGCCACGGCAAGAGCACCACGCCCGATAGCCCCTGGTCGAGGATTTGCTTGTGGGTGGGGGGGGGGGGGTGCGGGGGGGGGTGCTGTTAAATCTACCTCCGGGCCACACGGGTACTCCCGTGCTAGGACAACAAGGCCCCACGGTACACGGCGTCTCCACACTAGGCGAGTCAAACATGTGTCGTGATTGGGATCAAAGCGCTGACTAAGAGTCATGAATGAATGTTGCGGGGGGGGGGGGGGGGGGGGCAAAAGAATTTAAAGCTGCACAGCAGCAGCGTGATCGTCCTTCCAAAAGCTCGTGCAGATGTGGACCCTGTCCTCCTCCCCCATCCCTCGTTTGGGTTTGTCTGTCTTCTTTCTTTCTTTCTTGGGCCGAAAAAGAGAAAATCGCTAGCCAATATTTGCACAGAAAGGAGAGCCTGCGGCCAACCTCCTTCAAAGTGACTTGGGAAATTTCCGCGCTCAGAGCAACTCTTTCCCCAGCTCCTCTTTGCCGCCCTTCGACGATTCAGGTGGAGCTCCCCTCATAAAGCCGATTCTTTTGGGGGTCTCGGGGGATGGCGTACGCGGGTACGCCTGTTGGTGGCGCCTAGGGCCGTCGATGACCGCCGTTATCGCGTTCCTCATGGAGATGCGGGAATGCCTGCTGCCCTTGTCACTGTGCGCGCTGGGAGTTCGTCTTGGCGACGACGCATTGCTTTTCGCATTAGACCTCGTGCTGGTAACAGCGCTCCGGCGGGGGGATGGCCGGATAGCAACTGGTAGTTCAGTTTGTGCAATATCGTCAAGCAGTTCGAGTTTGATCATTGCGCCGTGCCTATTGGATGGGGTGGACCGTCAGACACGAGTCAGGGCATAGAGCTTGAATAGGAGTACTCGCCGTTCGACATGGAAGGTGTTGACTAGCTCTTCGGGCGGAAAAGCGCGCTTGACGAGGATGCCCATGAGGACCTAAGCAGACCGAGACGTGTGAAGAGCCGCCGTTACAGTCGCCTGCTGGCGCCATGAAGAGACCGTCTCTATTAGCAGAATAAACTGACAGTACAGCTCGCCCATGGTCTCATGGTTCCTCAGGCAGCCTCCGCCCCCACTGTGCGCTGCCCTCACAAGGTTGCCGACAAAGTAGCCTAACGAGTACGTGAGTGTGTGTGTGTGTGTGTGTGTGTGTGTGTGTGTGTGTGTGTGTGTGTGCGTGCGCGCGCGCGTGTGTGTGTGTGTGTGTGCGAGTGCGCGTGCGTGCGTGTGTGCGTGCGCGCGCGCGCGCGCGCGCGTGTGTGTGTGTGGAGTAGCCTTGGGCAGTGGATGAGGGTGCGTGATTGCTCTGGGCTTCTCAGCCTTGGTAGATGTTTAAGATGAGAACGAGCTTGATGGCGACGAACTTCTTGGTGGTGTTCCACCCCTCCAACGCGTCGTGCGTGCAACGGTACAACGAAAAGAGCCCCCAGAGCGCAAACGTCGTCGATAGCAGCTTGAGGACCTCGCAGATCGTGTATAGCTTGCGCGCCTCGCGGCCAGCGAGCGCAATGAAGCCCCACATGGCGAGGATGGCGAGGACAGGTGTGGCCAGGGTGAACTGCTCGAGCATGTAGTACATGAAAAGTAGGTGCTTCCGCTTCATGTCAAAGGCGGGCCTGTCAAACAGTGCAAACGTGAAGGTGCGCTGTTGAGAGCAGGAGCGTCCGCCTTGTGTTGTCACACCAGCAGCGGTAGTAGGGAAAGCAGAAGAGGAAGAAGAAAAAGTGTTTCTTTGGACCGTCCTGCGCCGGGGCATGAGCGGTCCAGTCATGCGCCAATCGTGTGTACTTTGTGTCAGATTGCATCTCGCAGCAGAAACGAGCGGTGCTTGATGGGCATCGTGGTAAGAATGCGAGAATCCATGCCCGGTGGTGTGCGTGAGGTACATGAGCGGCCTGATTGATCAGATTCAGGATGTGGTCGCCGTAATTGGGCTGCTCCTTTTTCTCCTCTGTCTCGACAGCGGCAATGGTCAGGAACAGAAACAGCAGCGAACCAAACGAGGCCAGCGCCCACGCCTCATACTGGGCCTGCAGCAAGTGCAGCAGCGTCATCGTGCGAGGCGCCAAGATGGAGAGCAGGGTTGTGCAGCCAAACACAAGAGGCATATGTGCGATGCCGATGTAGTGCTGCTGACGGGGTGAAATCGGCATCCGCCGGAGCGATACGACGTGTCGAATCGAGTTAAAGAGCACAATCACGCCGCAGATTGCCGAGATTGTCCATATTGGGATGAACTCAAACGGCGCTTCGTGGTAGCAGTCGTGAAAGTAGCGGCCCACGGCATCGTTGGGGCCAACCCTGACGCGGCCAGCCTCGCAGATCTCGACCGCCGGCGGGCTCCCCTTCATGTGTACGCCGACGCGTCCGATGCGTCGAATAGGTCGTTTTTGCGCACCTCGATCGGCTCGGGCTCCCGCGGGACGGCGTTGTGAGGCTTGAGCACGCGGCGGGCCAGGATCAGTCACACTTGCCTCTCGGCCGCCCCCTCCCCATCTTCAACGTCCTCGCATTCTACTTCGAGCTGCAGCAGCCGGCAACGCGCTCGCAACTCCACGCGCTCGTCAAGCACGCCTCCAAGGAGTCGGAGGCGGCGCACCTGTCAAAGCTCGCCGAGTTTGGCGCGGACAACACCGGCGAGGTGTCCGAGGACCGGGCAACCCTCTATGAGCAGTATATCCTCGCGGAGAGGCGTCGCACCCCTGCAAGCGAGAATGGCTAGCCCGGACAACACGTCTTAGGCCATTGTCGCTCGCGAGTAGGCGCACGCTGCTCGAGGTGTTGCAAGAGCACCCGTCGGTGAGCGTGCCCGCGGGGACCTTCATCGGCATGCTCCCGCCGATGAAGCCGCGCTACTACTCCATCTCCTCGTCGCCCAAGCACTTGCCGGGCAAGTGCAGTATCTCCGTCTCCGTCGTGCAAGGTCGCAGCCCGACGGGCAGGCAGCACTTGGGCGTCTGCTCCAACTATCTCAAGGCTCAGACCCTCAAGAAGCCCTACCCGACCTCTGTCTACCCCTCAAACAACCTTGGCCCCGAGGGCTACGGCATGCCGACTGTGGCCTTCGTCAAGGACACGGGCTCTTCCTTCCGGCTGCCCGCCGGCGATGCTCCCATCATCATGGTCGGACCAGGCACCGGCGTCGCGCCAATGCGCGGCTTCATCCAGGACCGCGTTGCCGACGGCAAGACGGAGAACGTGCTATTTTTCGGCTGCCGCGACGAGTCCGACTTCATCTATAAGGAGGAGCTGCAGGCGTGGGAGGCGGCGGGCTCGCTCAAGCTCTTCGTTGCCTTCTCGCGCAAGCCGGGCACGCCAAAGACGTATGTGCAGCACCTCGTCGCGCAGGAAAAGGCGCTGATGACGGAGCTAATCAAGAAGGGCGCGCATGTCTATGTGTGCGGCGACGCCTCGAAGATGGCGCCCGACGTGCGCGCGACCCTCTCGCGCGTGCTAGTGGACGCCGGCCTCGACGATGGCTTCGAGGGCGGTCCGGTCGAGAAGCTGCGCGCCGCAGGCCGGTATTGCGAGGACGTCTGGGCCGCTCAGTCAGTGTAGGGAGCGCAGAGGCGCGAGCCACGATGCGTGCGCACGCGTCGCCCAGGTCTGCGATGCTTGCTTGAGCGGCGCCAGCGCCAACTTGCGGAAAGGATAGGCAGCAAATGGGAAGGGCGCCACGAGCGGCAGGGAGCGAGTAAGTATAGTGGCACAGGGGAGAGCCTCGAGAGCCAGCGAGGCAGAGCCAGAGGGAGTGCAAGACCAAGTGCGAAGTGGGGCAGGGTCTTGTGGACCATTCGGCACTCATTTTTTGACTGATTTTGACACCTCGAAGAGATTTTCACATAAACAAGTACAACAGTTCCACATATCACACATATGGGGGTTTATCCGATATGGCACGACGCTGTGGCACGCAGGCTCGGGACTCAGTCTTGCGCTCGGCTCCCGGCTGAGCTGTCTACGGGCGCCACGCGCTCCCCTGACCGCTCTCTGTTTGCTGTGCTGCGTTCCCGATTCACGCCGCCTCCCGTCGTACTCTCGCCTCCGCCGTCGCATTGGCAGGCACAGTCAAGAAGGCCGCACCAAGGCCGCCCTCTATTGGGGCGGCACTGGCGCCCCCGTTGTTGTCCTCCTCCCGAGCCGTCGCCGCGCCTTCCATCGCGATGCCGCGCCGGTCCTCCACAAAGCCATAGGTGAGCGCAAAGCCGGCGAGCGAGACGGCGGCGCACGCGAGCATCGTCCAGCGCAGGCCGGCCGCCGGCCCCCACGCCGCAGAGATGCCGTCCTTCATCGGCTTGAAGGCGGAGGAGCCGAGCGTCGCACCGAGCTTGCCCATGGCGGCCGAGAAGCCGTTGAGGGTCGTCCGCACCTCGGGCGGGAAGGTCTCGGACGGCAGGATGAAGGTGGTCGAGTTGGGGCCAAAGTTGGAGAAGAAGAAGGTGAGCCCGTACAGGAGCAGCATGGCGACGCGGCCGCCCGCGCCCGCGCTCTCGAGGCTGTCGTACGCAAGGCCGAGCGCGGCAAAGGCGGCGGCCATGCAGGCGAAACCTTGCAGCTGGATGCGGCGACGGCCGACCCGGTCCATCAGCCAGACGGAGACGTAGTAGCCGGGGAGGCCAATCGCCGCCACCACCGCCATCTGCGCGCAGAGGTTGTGCGCGAGGTCGCCCTGCAGCGGCGGCGCGTCGCCGGCCGCCGCCTGGACAGCGCGGGATCCGGACGAGGTGAGCCGAGATGCGCCGAGATGCGCCGAGATGCGCCGAGATGCGCAGATGCGCTGAGATGCGCCGAGATGCGCCGAGATGCGCCGAGATGCGCCGCCTGGTCGACGTGGAAGACGGAGGAGAGGACGGTTGGCTGGAAGAGCGAGTTGCCGTAAAAGGTGATGTCGAAGAGGAACCAGCCGCCCGCGGTGCCGAGGAGCTTGGACCAGTACTTTCGCTGGCGCAGCGTCGACAGCAAGGTGGAGGAGGGGCCCGCCGGCCGCCCCGCCTCGGCGCGCAGGGCTGCGATGGGCGCCGACATCCGCTCGTCGGCGGTGGGCCGCGCGCCTCCGCCCTGCCCGCCCCGCCCCTCGCCCATGCACGGGACGAGGAGGAGGCCGGGGAGGGCGCCGAGGGCGAGGGCGAGCCTCCAGGCGAGGCCTGGATCTGCGCCGCCCGAGCCGGTGGCGGGGACGCCGAAGACGGCGAGGAGGGCCCACGACACGAGAGGCGCCGCCAGGTTGGCGACGCCCTGCATCGAAAAGACAAGCGACGCGTTCCGGCCGCGCTCCGCGTTGCTCGACGACCTGCCGGCGGAGGTGCGTGAGCGTTCAGCGAAGAGGCGCGTCGTCTCCACGGCCGCGTGTCTAAGCGCGGTGGTGTGTGCTTGTGCGTCGACTGCGGTGTGCGTGTGATCTTGGCGCGGGTCATAGCGGGAGGGGTCAGAGAGCGCTCGGGTGCGCGGCTTGCGGGACTCAGCCGCGGCCTCAGCCTCCGCCCGGTGGAGACGGCAGGAGCTCGCGGCGGGATGGGGACGGTGCACGCACTCGGTGGCGATTGTCGCGGAGAGCGGGTACACGCCGCCGACGCCGACGCCGAGCACGAACCGCGAGAGCGCCAGAAAGGTGAGCACCGACGAGCTATCGCCTCCGAGCGGTACCGCCGCGGCCGAGATGGTCGCGCCGAAGAGCGAGAGCGCCATCGTGAGGCGGAGCGCGGCGCTCCGGCCGACGCAGTCGCCAATGTAGCCAAACGTGAGCTGGCCAAGGATGGCACCCACGAGCACCGCTGTCGATGCCGCCTCCACCTGCGCCGAGCAGGCGTCGGCGCCGCCGCAATACTGGTACGCAATTGTGACGTGCGAGACGTTGATGATGACCAGGTTGTAGGCGGTCGAAAGGTTGGAGATTGCCGAGATGAGGAGCTTGCGGTTCATCGCGCTGTCGCGCTGTCGCAGGCGGGCTGCCACCGCAAAGCAGGCGGGCTGCCACCGCAAAGCAAGCGGGCTGCCACCGTTGAAGATATATGAGCGCGCGCGTCACAGCGCAGGCCAGGTCTACACTGGCCGCGGCACCAGCTCCCGCGGTCTGCACGCTAGGAGTGGTCCGCCCTCGCAATGAATGCGGAATACTATTACGAAAAGTACAACTAGTGCGACACACTAGTCAGTCTCGTAATCGCGCCAAGAGCGCGGATACACACACAAACAACAGGCGCGGCTATGAATAGCTGCGCATATACAGATAACGACTGTTCACAGTTGGGAGAGAGAGAGTCGTCTCTAACGCTCCCCCCTAGTTGCATCGGCAACTATCTCGGACGACTCGCGCGTCTTCGGCGAAGGGGTGATGACTCACGCCTTGCCGACGGTCGCGACGAGCTTGCTCCACAGCCGGGCAGCCTGCCCCTGGAGCGTCACAGCAAAGCCGGGGCCGTTGCTGGCGTTGAGCATGTAGTCGCGACAGGTGAAGAACATAGCTCGCGTCGCCTGCGTCTTGGTGAAGACGTCGGCGATCATGTAAGCAGTGCCGACGAGGTACGGCGCGACGTGGCGGAGCATGAAGAGGCGCTTGACAAACATGGTGGCACGTTCGTAGTAGCGCGTGCGAGCAGTAGAGCCGGGCTTGACGATGATGTCAAAGACGGCTTTGCAGTCACCGAGCTGGGGCGTGGGGCCTGCGACAGCTCGGCCAGCGTCCTCGAGCATGAGCCGGCAGGAGACGACTTTCTTGGCGGCGACGGAGGCGGTGGCGGTCTCCTCTTCGGCGACGCTGAGAGCCTCGATCTTGGACTTGTTGGCGCTCCAGTCGATGGCGCCGTTGTTGAACATCACGACGCATCCGCCGTAGTGTGGCGCCTTGCCGAAGGAGGCGTCATGGTAGGCGTGGAGGCCACGAGACTCGATGAAGCCTGGCGGGAAAGTGTCGAGTCCGTAGGGGATCTTGAGCTTTCCGCCGTAGGTGATGCCGAGGTGCTTTGTGGCGTTGAGATAGTTGATGACGGTCATGATGGCGTCACGATGGACGGCGCCGCAAGCCTGAGAGAAAGAGCCGAGCTTCGAGAAGAAGTACTTGATGTCGGGGCGCGTCATCTCGGCAGGCCACCCGATGGTTCCTAGCGGCTTCAGGAACTCGGTGACGGGGATGCGGTTGCACTCGGCAGCAGGCTCGAGCTTATCGAAGAGGGCGCGCTGGACGTCGGTCGAGCCGGCTGGGGTGGACTGAGCACGAGCGCCAATCTCGTTGCCGTAGAGGGCGGCAATCCGCTCGATGTACCGGGTCTGCCGAATAGTGAGCGTGCGGTTGGCTCGGTCGCGGAGTACCTCGATTCCGGTGAAGACGGAGATGGGGACGATATCGAGCGTCGCAATCTTGATGTACGTTCCATATTCCTCTTTGAACCGGACGTACTGGTCGGTGGCGGAAGCGGCAAAGCCGTTTGCGACGTCGTCTGCAAAAACAACGATGATTTTTAGGCGAAAGGCTGGGTGGCTGTAGAAGTTTGGCTCGGTGAGCGAGGCGACGCAGCCAAGCTTGACGAGGGCGTCCTGGTTGAGTTTGAACCAAAGGTAGGAGCCCTGTTTGATGCCCTCGAGCGCTTTGAGAAGCATGAGCACAAAGCCCTTCTTGACGAACCCGGGTGGCATCTGGGTGTAGATCTCGGCATCGACGTCAGCCTGAGTAAACGCCTTGACGCCGTCGGCCGTGTCAGTCTCGAGGTCTTCGTCAGCGACCATGGCACACCATAGGCGGAAGGCTGTTGCGCTCAGAGTGCGCGCAAAACACTCGTGGTACTCCTTGCCTTCACGTTGTCCAAAGCCTTTCCCAACGAGACGAGCCTTGACCTTGGCGATGCTGCCGTCGTCATTGAAGACAAAGGTAAAGACCCACACTTGACTCCAATGACGTGCATCCACGGCTCCTGTTGGACAACGTCCCACGCTCGGTTGACGACGTACTTTCCGTGAATCTCATCCTCCATAGCACGTTTGATGAGAGGCCAGTAAATAGACTGGCGAGCCTGTTCGACTGTTTTGATGTCGGGCATAGTCTGTGAAGCGACGGACTGGATTGCAAGCGCTATCTCGATTGGCGGCGGCTTGCAGCCTGTGTCGTTCCAGACGCATGCGACCTCGGTGTTGTCGTCGTCGATGAAGGCTGAGTAGGCTATCTCTGCAAGCCGGTCAGTTGCGAGGCGGGCAATAGTCTGTTGCCCACTGGCAAATGCGGCGCAGCCGACGGCGGCATAACGCCGTACAAGGGCTACGGTGCCGTCGCTGGCTGTCGGACCATCTGCGTTAGCTGCTCCCCCCTGGTCTGGCAGGCCAGCTGGGCGGGCGGGCGGGCGACGCGCAACAAAGTGCTTAAGCTGCTCGACAGGTGTCTCGCAGCTGCGTATTCTCGTATTCTCGTATTATCGTCGCGTAGTGTGATATTGCGTTGGGGCGGTGCGTATTCTCGTATTACTGGCTCCGAGTAGAGGGCGGCGTCCTGCAGTTAAGGGGAAACCTGGTACGCGGGGCTAACCCTCGGAGAGTATTCTTTAGCTCCGAGTAGAGGGGGCGTTCCGCAGCTGGGGGGACCCACAGCGCGAGGGAAAAATTCCGCCGCTGGGGGAACCCCGGAGCGCAGAGCCAACCCTCGGAGACCCGTGTTATGGCCCTGCGACTGCGCACCCCCCCACGGTCGAGGAAGAGGGTGCGTTCTGCAGTTAAGGGGTAACCCGGTACACGGAACTATCCCTCGGAGACGTGTTATGGCCCTGCGACCGCGCACCCCCGGGGTGGGGCGTGCAGTGTGGTGTTCATTAGCTCCGAGTAGAGGGGGCGTCCTGCAGTTAAGGGGAAACCCGGTACGCGGGGCCAACCCTCGGAGACCCGTGTTTACTTTACGGCCCTTGCCCTGCGAACGCGCACCCCCAGGGCTAGGGCTCTCTTGCCCGCAACCCGATCCCGATCATCCGGCCCGCTGGGTGCGCTTCTGAGCTCCCCGGCCCTGGATGTGCGGTTGATGACTGCACTCCAAGTGCTCCAAGTGCCAGTTTGAAGACCACTAAGCTACCGGCCGCACTCGTGCTTCAAGTGTGCGCCCATACAACCCATGGTACTGCGCCCCGCTCCTCGCTCTCGCCCGCAAGGCACCAAACTTGGGCGCCTCCCCCACCATCACCTGCACGAGGCCTCTCTGCGGGTCCGGGTGCGCAAAGGCGACGCCGCACGACTGCAGGAAGAGGCCGCCGCTGGCCCGGACCGGCGGCAGCGCCTCCGCCCCCCCTCGCGAGCGGCGCGCCGCCGCAGCGTGTCCCCAGTACAAGTCGTCGCCGACGATCGGGCAGCCCAGGCCGGCGGCGTGCAGGCGTAGCTGGTGGGTTCGCCCCGTGAGCGGCGACATGCGGACCCACGAGAGGTGGCCCCACTGCGCGTGCGGCGTCACAGAGAGCACCTCGAGGGTCGACGCCGCAGGCTGGCCCTGCAGCGGCGCGCGGATCTCGAGGCGGCCGCCACAGGCCTGGTCGACGGGCGGGCGGCCGACCAGCAGCGCGTGGTACACCTTCGCCACCTCGCGGGCGGCGAACTGTCGGCCGAGCTCGACGGCGGCGCTCCTCGTTTTCGCAACCAGGCAGAGGCCGGAGACGGGCACGTCGAGCCGGTGCAGGGCCAGCGGCAGCGGCAGCGCGTCGGGAGCGTCGCGCGGCGGAGGGGACAGCTCCGCCGTCAGGGCGTCCTCGAGCGCAGCGAACTTCGCGTTGCTGCCCGCCTTGGTGTGGATGCCCGGCGGCTTGAAGACGACCGCGACGGCCTCATCCTCGTGGAGCACCCGCAGGCCCTGGGAGCGCAGGTGCTCGACAAAGCGGGCCCGCGCGTGCAGCCGCTTTTCTGACGGCCTCGCGGCGGCGGGCGGCTGCAGCTGCAGCACGTCGCCCTGCTGCACCCGCCGCGACTTCTCCACCGCCAGCCCGTTGACGAGGAGGTCTCCCCGCCTGACGGCGTGCTCGGCCTGAGACTTTGTCCCGAGTGGCGCGAACCGCGATCCACCGACGCGGGTGAGCCGCGCGCCGGACTCATCCTCCGTGACGGTGTGGTGCAGCCGCGGCGGCGGCCGATCAGAGTGCCAGGCGAGCATCGCACTCACGATCGCCGGGTCGTGGGTGTCAGGGCAGGTCTTGGCGAGAAGCCGCGGCGGTGGCGCTCTCATCGCGGGGGCGCGGTTTTTTTCTTTTTTCTTTCAGAAAATTAATCGAGCCTTGTATGACGTATGTGCGCGCGCACGACTTATGTGCGCGCGTGCTGCGTGCGGGCCGGAGTGGAAAACACGAGTGCTCTCTGTCACCTTTCGCACGAAATTCATGTCGAAATTCATGCCGAGCCGTGCTCTTCAGTCCGTTTGCTGCTGGTTCCGCCGCCCGCATGTTTGACGACTCGTCCTGCAGCGAGTGCTTCAAGGCGGCGCACGACTCGATCGATCAGCCTGCCATCGCTGCGAGCGCAGCGGCGGCCGCCCTAGGGAAGCAGCTTCGAGTCGCTTGCGCCGACCGCAGTGGTCCGACCGAGGTAGCCCTCGCCGAGGTGAAGCGGCTGCTATCGGTTCCGGGTGCCGACGTGAACGACGCGAACCGAAACGGCAAAGCGGCCATCCACCACACTGCGCAGCTGCGGTCCGACACAGAGGTGCTCGCGTGCCTGGTCGCCCACGGAGCAGACGTCAACGCGACGACGCATCGAGGTCACACGCCGCTCATCTATGCGGCCGGCCGCTGCCGCGAGCAAGTTGTCCGATTCCTCCTCGCAAACAGGATTAGATGCTGAGCGTACAGGTCCTTGTAGCCTAACTAGGACGCACCCGTGCACCCAACCGCGTCAAATAGTGTATCCACTGTATTCGCATTCACACCACGCGCCGAACACACCGCAAGCGACGCCAATGCTGCAGGCACACGGCGCCGACGCGGCGACGTGGACGGTGATGGGCGACGACTGCATCAGCATGGGGCGCAGCAAGGGGCTGCCCGAGGACCTGCTCCACGAGCTCGCGCGCAACCAGGCGGCCAGCACCCGGCGGCGCGACTTCCGCGGCGACGAGCGGGCGGTGCGCGCCCAGGAGGAGCACGCGAAGCACTGCTCCTGCTGCCAGCGGAGGCGGTCGGAGGCCGGCGCGGGGGATGAGCCGCCCGCACTCGAGGATGCGGTCGTGGAGCTCGCCGTGGCGCTCGGCGCTGCGGCCGCCGATTCGGACGAGGCGCTCAGCGCGGCGCTCCTCTCCGCGACCGGCCTCGACACGCCGATCCTGCGGCACGCGATCGAGTTCAGCCTGCGCATCGGTGCCACAGAAGGCGGCGACGAGGCGGCGGCGGCGACCACAGAGGCGGCGATGGCCGTCCGTGATGACACGGCACCACCTGCGTGGCAGTCCTGGAGCGGTCCTGGCCATGCCCCGTAGGAGGAGGTGATTGGGGACGCCGTCGGAGCGGAGCAGCTGCTGCGCGCCGCGCGCGACGAGGCTCTCGGCCGGTGCTTGGGCAAGGGCGCCAAGGGGCGCGCCCGCCGGCCGGTGCGGATGGTTGCGGGCGCCGTCTTGGCCGCCGTGAAGAGCGAGGGGGTCGTCGAGGCGCTCGTGCTGAGCGGGCAGTCGATCGGCTCTCTCGTGGCTGCGGCGGACGCCCACGTCGCGGCTTCGTGCGCTGGCCGGCTTCCCTCTGCGACGCGGCGGTGTGCGAGCGGCTGTGGGCGACACTGACTCGCACGGGCAACGGCTGGCATGCGGCCGTGGGAGAGGTGAAGGCGCGGCAGAAGCGGTACGGCGGGCCGAGGGTCGCTGCGTGGGCGCGCGCGCTGCGCTGGGCTGCCACCGTCGGCTTTGAGGGTTGGCGCCCCGCCGCGTGCAGCTTGCTTGACGAGGCGGCGGCGTGCGCGTCGCTCGCTCACCTGCTGGACGCGCTCTCGACGCGAGGCGCGGAGGTTGTGCCGCCGGCTCTGGCCGAGCTCCTCACCGATCGATACGGCGAGTGGCCGTGCGCGCCTCGCGCCGCGCCGTCGCTTGCGGCTGCGGCTGCGCCCGCGATCGCGCCCCCGCCACCCCTCGACATCGAGTCGCTTCCCGCTGCGACCCTCGAGCAGGCGGGGACACTCCCGCGCGGGGAGCAGCTGTCGATGGCACGCCTCTGCGACATGGTGTTCTGGACGAGTCATGCGTCCTTTCCCCGTAGGAACCTCTCTTTGTCGACGAGCCGAACAGCATACGGGCGCTGCACGGGAGCCTCGCGGCGATGGCAAGGGAGGAGCGACGCCGCGGCTCGCCGCCGCTTCGCATTGGAGTCGACACGGAGTGGGCAGATGCGCTGGAGGAGGACGAGGCGGCGGAGGAGGAGGAGTCGGCCACCGCTGCTGAGAGGAGGAGGCCCTCTCGGCGGCCCCCGCGGCTGGCGGTGGTCCAGCTCGCTGTGCACGGGCGTGGGGCTTGGGTGATCGACGCCCTCGGCCACCCGGCGCGGCGCGCGGTGGGCGAGCTGCTGCGGTGGGCCCTCAACGGCGACCCGGCGGACGACGACGCGGTCGCCGTGCTGGGATTCGCTTTCCAGGGCGACCTCAGTGTGTTGCGCCCGATCTGCGGCAGTGACTTGCACGCGCGCGCGCTCGTCGACCTGCAGCAGTTGGCGCGCCAAGGCCGGGAGGACTCGCAGCCGTCGCTGCGGAGGGTGTGCGCGCGCACGCTCGGCAAGGCGCTCGACAAAGCGGAGCAGTGCAGCGATTGGGCGCGCCGTCCGCTGCTGCCCGCGCAGATTCGGTACGCCGCGCTCGATGCCGCGGTGCTGCTCGACATCCACGACGCGCTGCTCAAGCGGGGCGAGGCGCGGCAGGTCGATGGGTAGGAAGGAGCGACGACAGGTCGACAGCCCACCGTGAGTTTGCGCGTCGTCTTCCTCTACGCGCCTCGTGGTCGAGGACGGCGCGGAGCGCGAGGTGCTCCGCGCCGTCCTCGCGGCCTCGCACGTGTTTCTGTCGGAGGCGTCTGAGCAAGCGGTGGGGGGGGGGAGAGGAGAGAGTCCAAAAGTGCCTCCAAGGAGAGAGGATGACTACCCCACTTTCACTTACCCTCTTTCCTCCTCCTTTCTCGCCACGACGAGCAGCTTGTGGGAGCTTCGTTGTGACTCAAACACACCCCAGCCTCGCTCCCCGGAAGGTCACAGCGACGGGGCACGGGCACGCGTGTCACATCCAAGCGTGGCGACTTTCACACCGCAAAAACACAACCCTGGACCCAAGACGCACACGCACAAACAGTCGAGAAACAGCAACGACAGTCAGAAGTCAGCACTGGGTCGCCCAGGAAGGCGAATGCGATGACGGCCTCTAGCGACTTTCACGCCATCCGCAGCATCTCTCTTCTTCACATAAACGCACAACCCCGGACCCACGACGCACAAGCACAGACAGTCGAGAGAAGGGGGGGGGGGGGCTGCGCCGCGGAAGAGCACCGGGGCGAGGGGTGCGAGCGTGTGCGCCGCCCGCGGAAGAGCGCGCGGGTGAGGGAGGGGGGGGTGCGCGCGCGCCGTCCTGCAGCGTCGCCGGCCGCAGGCCAAGGAGCTCGGCTGATCGAGAGCACCGACGGACGACGATCGGCTCCTCAGCAGTGGGACACCGAGCTGGAGGCTCGGCCGGGAGCTCGCGCGGGCAAGTGGAGCTTTCCGCTCGGGCCAGCAGGAAACGGGCGCCCCGCACAGCGACGCCCGCCGAAGAGTGCCGAGAGCTCGGCTCGACGCGAGCGCCGAGGAAAAGCGATCGGCTCCGCAGCAGTGGGACACCAAGCCGGAGGCTCGGACGGGAGCTCGTGCGAGCACATAGCAAGGTGCGTGCGCGGCGGCGGGACACAGGTGAGCGGGCAGCTGGCGCACATTTTCCTGCTGTGGGAGCTGAGGAGTTTGCTCTCTCCGTTCACGTAAACGCACAACCCCGGGCCCGATCTCCGTTCACACAAAAACACAACCACGTTCACGTAAACGCACAACCCCGGGCCCGAAATCGCACAGAGTCACGCAACACGTGGGTACCCCTTTGCAGAATATGAAGGGTGGCTAAGGGCTCTGCCCGCAAGGCGCCCGACGCGGCACATTGACAAATCTGGTGGACAACAAGAAAGAAAATCTGCAATGTACCCCCACACGAACAAATAGCAAAATATTTTGGTTTTAAAGAGCAGCCAAGATTGAGAAGAAGTTGAAAGCGGCCTTCGTCCAGCTTGTCGAGTGCGGTCGAAGCCTGCGCGATCCATCGCACTTCCACGTCGTACGCGAGCTCTCAGAAAGAAAGAAAGCCACTCTCGGCCTCTAGAGCCGACGCGCCGAGGGAGGAGGCAGGAGCGAGACCGAGAGGCGGTTCTCCCCCAGCTGGAGGGTCTTCACGGGTGAGGCCGGACAGGTCGGCGGGGAGGGAGGCGATGCGGGTTGGCGCCGAGGCCGAGCGTCAGAGAGAGAGAGAGGAAGAGAGAGAGAGAGGAAGAGAGAGGGAGAGGGAGAGAGAGAGAGAGAGAGAGGAAGAGAGAGAGAGAGAGAGAGAGAGAGAGAGAGAGGGAGCCCAGAGAGAGCTTCCAGAGAGAGAGGAAGAGGGAGAGAGA